TGAACTTCTCCGTTCACTTCGGTTTTTCTAGATCTTAGACATTCGGTAGGATTCCTTGGGCGGGTGATCAGCTCGTCGCAAGGCCTCTACCTGTGCACAAACACAGAAAAACGCACACAAACATCCATGCCCTGAGTGGGATGGAACCCACGATCCCGGCTTCCGAGCGAGCGAAGACAGTGCACGCCTTAGACCGCTCGGCTACCGTGACCGGCTTCTCGGGGGGTTTACAAAAAGGAATTCAAGGTACTCCGTAATCGGGTCATGACTCGAAGGTTCTGACACACAGACCTAGAGCCTTTGAAAAAAAGGTAAAATTCTTCCTGTAACCGGCTGTGGAGGCTATAGGGTTGTGAGAGGTTGAGGCTCCAACTTTGTATTAATTGTATTAAAAGTATTGAATGATGTATTAAAATTATTAAATTTTTTTCAAAATACCACAATATCATATCCAATAGTGGAATTTTGTATAAAAGTTGATGAACCTTTGGATTCGTTTAAATTTGATAGAGAAAACTGCAGAAAGTGTCATTATGAATACCAAGGAAGGGACTAGAGTATAAAATTAAGATAAATTTTTAGGGAGATTATGAGGAAAGAAAATAGCCAACTCAATATCATAACAAACGGCGGGTTTTCCTTATTGGATGTGCTGAACTTCCGGGTAAGTTACTTGTGACTTAGGAAATATGTTCACACTTGATTGTAAAATAGGCAATTCCGATTAATTTTATAGCAGATGAATTTCCCTTGAGATTATAATTAAACATCGCTGTGCAGTGACATTTCAGAATCTGATGGCGTATAGTTGAATTAATTTAGTAATGAAAATAGACACAAGTGAACTTTTCAAATTCGCTGCCTCCAGTGTCTGTGGAAATACCACGCGTTCTTTGAACCAGCATTACGCGTGTTTGCAGGTGGGGATCCGTGGTTGGCTCCACAGGATTCATAACATTTCTATCCGCCATGTTTAAGGCACATAGCTATTACGTAATTCTTCATTCATTACAAATATGCACCACATTCAATATGGTGTTTGTGTCCATTCGTATGAACAATTAAATTTCGGTGCAAACTGATAAAACATATAGATCTCTAGCTTCTGAAAAGTGGCACCATGTATATGGGAAAAGTTACTTGCTGCCCTGAAGATGGAAGCTCTATGTTGGTAACTTTCTACAATGTCAGAGGACTTGGCACGACAGACGAGAGAAATCTTAATATTTACAGCCGTGATAGCCTAAAATATTACGGTCAAATGTGACCCTCAATGTCCTTAAACTCAAATTTTAACTATATTAGAAAGGTAAGGTAAAAGTAAAGCTATCCCTGTAACAGGCCGTGAAGGCCAATAGGGTTGTCAGACGCCGAGGCTCCCACATTTTGTAGATAATCGGTTCACAGATGACGGTGACGTCAGCCTTAGGCGCCGGCCGCAATTTACCCCCTCCCCACAGGAAAACGCCTAATACTCATTCCTGTTAGCGGCTAAGTCGACATCAGGGAAGTAGTGCTGCTGGGAGGATTAGGTCAATTGAAAAATCCAACAACTTCATCGGGAATAGAACCCGTGACCTTCCAGCTTGTAGCATAGTGCCTCAACCAACTACGCCACCGCGTGCCCCTCCCTTTAAACTCAAATTTTAACGTCACTAAATGAAAGTACTCACTGTACAATAAATATTTTATAACATAAAATAAGAATCTCCTTCAGATGTACAACTTTCAATTGACACATTATTCAATATAACGAATATTTAACATTATATTCAAAGATACGGGAAACAATTTCAGGTGTTTCTTAACACGTGCAGTAAGATTAGCTTTGCAGCTGCTGATTTGAATCAGGCAGTAAAACAAACATGAAAACCAATAACGTAGAGAGAAATCTGAAAAAAAGAGAAACATCTGCAGAGTCACTCCGTTGCAGCAGCCTATACACTTCCGCCCTTATTCATGCTTGTTATATGTGTCTTGAGAAATAACAACCTTTCGTATCCAGAAGGTATGACGTTCGAACTTCGTCTATCACGACATT